TTTTATGATAGTCTCAACTATATTTGTTCAGTCTGTAATTGACAAGACGTTGTTGATACAATTTCTGATAAATTAATATTTCCCCGTATTACTTTAAAAAATGTAAAAAAAAATAAAAGAAAAATGAGAATCAAATAAACGAGTCAATAATTGAGCTTATAAATGAGACGAGAAATGAGCTTATTAGCAAGCTGATAAATGAGTTTGTTCCTGAACAAAAATGAATCGAACACAACTCTGTTCATATTCTATTAAATGAACATGAAAATTTCATTCATAGTCGTTTAGTTTATGAACAATTCGCCGAATACTATTCATTTAGGCACCTAATCAAAATCAACTTATGGACAAGTATATTCTGTCAAGGCAACATTCTATATTCCCACGGCCACCATCACCAGTTTCTTCATCATTAACCTTAGCACCCCACCCAAAAAGAAAAACAACAAGGGGAATGGCACTTAGGCACACGAATATGATTGCTTTTGCTTATTTATTTCTCCTTTATCCTTTCTTCTAACACTTCATTAAACATAATTAATTTTATGATTGCAGCCGTGTGTTAGATTTATATATTATCAGAGAAACTTAAGATACCTTAAATGTACAAGATAAATACTTCTTTCCTTGGAATTGTTGTGTATTAAATACACGGGGACCAATAGAGTGATAAAAAAAGGTAGATGAAAGTGGAAGAACGAGTGAATGAATGGGAGGGCAGGGCAAAGGCATCTCATTTTCATCATTTAAGACTCCATTGCTACACCTACGTGGTCCTTTATAGACCTTGACACTGAGATATAGTTAACCATAAACCCTAATTCACATAATAAGTGTTGTTTTCGTCTATCAACATATTTGATCGGTTTTTATTGGTATAAGAAATAAACTTATAAACAAGTAGAGAGATACATAACGATGTTCGTTAACACAATTTAAGTTTAATTAACCCTACACCAATAAAAAAAATATTAGTATTAATTGATATGTAAAAGATATCATATCGATTCAAATTAATATATTAATCGTATATAGAAATACATATTATTTTCTGATGGTATCAATCATCTTGTTGTACATTAAAGTCACTACTTTTTGCACAGATTTAGGGGAAATAGGAATGATGAGATGGGGGGATTAAATGGAGATTAAAACCCACCACCAAACTTCTAAGCTCAAGGAAGTCCATTGAAATTGCTTCACAAAATTCCATAATTTTTGTACCGAAAACAACACTTTTGTTTGTGGATGACAAGTAAACCCTTCTATTTCTTTTTGGGACTTATGAAAATAAAAAGGTTCAAGTATATTAAAGGTCAATAAACTATGTCAAAATATTTTTTTAGTCGATAAACTTTTAAATATTACAAAATAGTCATTAAACTTTCCAGATGATTATAAAATGGTATTAAATTTATTGAAATGTTACTGAATGATCATTAAACTTATGGACTATTGAAAAATGATCATTAAACTTATCAAAATTTATTATTATTTATAACGTTATAAGTACCATTTTGTAATAGTTTAATAAGTTTAACGACCCTTATGTAATATTTGAAAGTTTGGTTGCCAAAAAATATTTTAATATAGTTAAAGTGACCTCTAGTGTGCTATACCCAAATAAAAACCAATACAATTGCCCTCTCCTAAATAAGCTCCCCACTTGCCCAAATGCCACATACCCCCCCCCCCAACTTAATTTCTATTTCAGTATCAAAGGAATCTTTGATTAAGGGCGCCATTATTTCTCTTTCCTTGGTCACCAACTATGCCCAATTAAGGGTTTCACTATATAATTTAATTAATAATAATTTATTTTAATATAAAACAAAGACCAGGTATTTATTTGAGTATAATAAAAATGTAAAAAAATCTTTATAAGATTTTATATATTTTTTACTATATTAATCATTTATAGTTCAAAATTAATTAATTATTATTTTTTAAAAGAAAAAGAAGGAAGACATGTAGAATCTAAATTTTCAGCCAACAAAGGGTGGTCCAATTCTTAATTTTTATGGCCCAACACAACATCAAGGTCAAGGGGATTGCATATGAATGCTGGTGAGTGGACAACAAACATCACATTCTCACACATCTTATCTCATAATTTGAATTTTGTTTATGAAATTTTATCTTACATTTACACACGAACCAAACAACGTTGGTGATAAAATAATTGTTGTTATTTTTTGATATCTCGAGTTCGAGTATAATTAATGTTAGGAGTGTGAGTATTTAATTTCAAATTGTTGAGAATTATCTTTAAATATATATTGCCTTATAAGAAACAATACATTAATTTCATGTATATCTCTTACAAACACATCATTGAAAAGTAAAAAAATTCATTATTATTATTATTTATCAATTATTATTTGATCTAGCAAGATAAGATGTTAGGCTTTTAAAAGTGATATCATGGTTCAAATTCTAACGTTATAAATTAAAAAAGTTGGATTATGAGGATCATTCTCATAATAGATATTTGTAGTACACGATCAATATTAATCGATCAATGAATTAAATACCGATAATTATAAAAACATGTATTTTAAAAAGAAAACTTCTACATTTCACAATCGAAACAAATGTCTAAATTACTTGAAAGAAATTTGGGTATTTGAAGATAAAGATAGGATTGAAAGAGGCGGGTTAACTACATTTTTAGTACCCTAACTATCATTTTTATTATGTTTTGGCCACCTAACTATTTTTGTTTAAATATCATACCCAACGTTACATTTTGGTTTCATTTTGATCATTCACCGTTGAAATTTAACGGCGATGCTAACGTATCATCATAAACTAATGTCACATCATCATTGAAATAATTTGAAAATTGTCACGACATTAGTTCTGTTTATTTTTAACAGCATGTGACCAAAATGTAACATTAGGTATGATTTTGAAAAACATAATAGTTGAGTGACCAAAATGAAATAAAAGTGATAGTTAGGATACTAAACGTATATTTACCCTATTTTTATTTATTTAAAAATATTTATGAAAAACTAAACTTTAATAAACAATATCTAAAATCAATAAAAAAACTCATTTTGTCAAAATAAAAATCTAAAAACTCAAAACCAACGTAAAAAAAATTTAAAATCAAATCAAATTATCATAAATTATTTAAAAAAAAACTGACTGAATCATATCGATAAATCAAGTAATTACTTTTGGCCATTTTGAGTGGTGAGAAAAGAGAAATGGAATCCCTAATTGAAGATATTGGAGCCAAATGAGGTTTGGAACTTATTTGAGGATAAATGTATAACTCATAACCTATTTTTTTATTAGTCTAGTGTGATTATAAGGTAATATCTGTTTATAATATTTCTTAATCATTAGCAACACATATACATCATGCAGACGACAATTGCTCGAACCCAGGACCTCAAATATTCAATAGGTTCACCATTAGTTGTTTCATTATCCGATTTGAGAGGATTCCTTAAAGAAATGGATGGTAGCTAAGATAGGCCATCCCAATCCTCATCCCCCCACCATTCAATATGTGTTTTTCTCATTAAAGTATAATCTTTCAATTTGATCATTACATTTAACCAACCAAAAACAAATCTTCATATTTATGCCTTGTGATTTATAAGACAACTTGGTAGATATATTGCATGACATAATTTAATATTTTTGCATTAATCATAAAATCATTGTCACATTATGAGGAAGATTCAACTTGTTTTAGGATACAGTGTGTTGTCAAATAGTGGAATTACTGCACTAAACTATTTTATTATAAAAGTGAACTCAATGGTTATTTTTCAGAAGAAAAAAACTCTTCAATGATTATGGCCAAACAATAATTGTAAGTTTAGTGCAATTTTTCTTCTTCTTTTTTTATCATTTTCATATTTTTATATTAATGTAGGTGGTGTCTATTTTAGACAGTAAAAGAAATATTTATTTTTCTTTATATTAATTAAAAATTAGGTATTAAATGGTTCCAAATAATTGGTACATAGGTGATGTAAACGAACATAGCATTTGGTGAACTGTTCGTGAATCATTCGTTTAACGTCGTTTGTTAAACTAAATAAATGAGATTGAACAAAATTTTTATGTTCATTTAATAAACGAACAAACATAAACAGACGCGTTTCAGTTTGTTTATGTTCATGAACAAACTCGTTTTGAGCTCGATTATCAACTTGCTCATTTATGTTCATTAACAAGCTTGTCGGTTCGTTTATAAACCCATTTACTTTTTATTTTTATACATTTTAAATATTGGTAAATGTATGGACTAAATTAAACACGTGGTGAAATTGGAGTTTAAAGATTGTATTTTTTTATTGTTGTGGATGTTATATAAGATTTATTTAGTTGGTTACGTTTAATTTCTGAATATATAAACGAACATGTTCGCAAACATTGAACGAATATGTTCGCGAACACTAAACGAACGAGCATGAACACTTTTAAAAATAAATAAACGAAAACGAACCGAGCAGTAACACCTTTAAAAAAAATCTAACAAATACGAATACAATCATATTCATTCCAGCTTAGTTTATTTATACCCACTTTTAGTACATAGGAGAAAACAATACTACTAAGCCCACTACATTTTATTGTTGTTTTTTATAATTGGACAACATTGTGCTGCTTAGTAGAATTTTGGGTCAAACATATAAGTTTCAGACTTTACTATTCGGTTCCAATGTCAGCATGATTCAATTCAACACAGTCCGTGTCATTGGAAAATCAATTATATTAACTATTCGAATTAACTGATAACAATTTGAATTAGGGATAGTAAAACTAAAACCACAATTTTACCGCAAAAAAAGAAAAAAGAAATAATTACACAAATAAGTCATAATCTTATAAATATACTTGTTGGAATGAAATGAAATTTAGCATAGGAATATACCATCTAACTCTAACGTTCATAAGTGAATTGAATAATAGCTCTCGAATGTACGGATTCACAAAGATTTGAAATTAGATTGAACCTTAAAACATAAGATTCTCTTCGAATGAATTGACCAGAACAGAGTTCGAATTCTCGAGCATCGGTTAAATCTATACAAATCAAGCAACCATGGCCAGCAACCATACCAACATTATCACCCACTGCCAAGTTCCGAGCAGTTTTAAGCCAGCTGATGGAAAAAATAATATTGCCATTCATCAATATAGGCACAATATGCATCATAGGAAGTTTTGACAATAGATGTATGTATTCGGGTTTACCTCGGTTATCATTGTTTTGAGACATCGATGGTGTCGGCGGTGTGTAAGTCGACATATTCGTAATCGAGATCCCGAGGTTGGCACAATCCAATCCGATTGCACCTGGAAAAGCAGACGAAGTTCAAAACTCAAATAACACTAACGAGTAACGCCTGCAACAATCGCGGCTACATCAGAACCAGTATGTTCTTACATTCTTTGTAACACGGGAAGGCCGAGACGTTAAGAAGATTGAAGTAACCCTCCGAACATCGACAGTTGTACGTAAACGGCGACTCCTTGTTGCACGATCCGCCTCCGCAATCGGTCCAACTGCAGACTGTGTGACAAAGTGCCGCATTGAGCATTAAGAAAAAAAACGACATCAAACGACCAAACACAATGTGTAAACGGTACACATCTTACTATCAAAGACGGAGTGATTCATTTTGGTTTCCCTTTCTTGCACCGGGGAGGGAGCATCTGAACAAGCACTATTCACTGTACCTGAAAAAGAAAAAATCAAATCGACCATTAATCCTAAATCCTAAACTCTAAAATCAAATGCAAAATCATTTAGATTAGTTACAGTTGGGAACAATGCAAGGGAGAAACTTGAGATGCTGATGATCATCTTTATCAGAAAAGGTTTGCTTCCAACCAGGATCACATTCACAGATATAAAAGGGCAGTGTTCCATTTAAAGAAGGCTGGCATTTTCCTCTTCCACATTCCACTTCTTTGCATACATCATCTGCAACAAGAAAACCCCAAGTTAATAAAAGACCCAAAGATCTAAAAAAGAAATGAAAATGGGAAATGAACAAACCAAATAAGGGAGAGAAAAGTGGGGATAAAAGGTCAGATTTAGCAATCTTAAGAAGAAGAAATATTGAAAGCAAAGAAAGGGTTTTAAGAGAAGCTGCCATGGCTAGAACATGCAAAGATGGTTTATGAGAAAAAGAGAAAAAATACAAAGGTTTTTTTTTTTAAGTATAAGAAAGCTTGAAGTGGTCTTCTGCAAATGGACGGCGGTTTTGATTGGTGGAGCTTGGTGGTTGAGATGTTTACGTGCCGTGGACTCGGCTAAACTCTTCAGTAGTTCGTTGGAGGTTCAATTTCAAACTTCAAAGAATGGTTTTGGATGGTTTAATTTTGATTTTAGTCCCTCTGTAATCCTTTTTTTTTCGTTTGACACGGTTTAGTCTTTTTCCTGTAACGTTATTAGTATGTACAATTTGATAAAAATCATTAATTAATGGTTTTGTATGGTTTAATTTGGATTGACGAAAACATGTCACGTGACATCCTCGGATTTTGTTAAAAAATTTCGTGTGATTAAAGGGTTTCGAGATGAACTCTATCAAATTAAAACAGTCGAAAGACGTTTAAAGACACAAATAAAGCTAAGTTAGAGGGCAAAGTGAGAAAACACATGTATTTAGAGGGCTAATTTGTGAATTAAGCCAAAAAGTCCATATACACCAAGTACAAGGACCCTTAATTTAACTATATTGACAATTACGAAGGACAAAAAATGAACTTGTGAGATGGGATTTATTGTGTTGTTTGAATATAGAGACTATGCTTTGAATTTAGCTGAGATATTGTATTCAAATAGGTGCCTACTTTATTACATACACAGCGGAATACACAGGGAGCGTTGATGAGGGGCACATGGAAACTCTTTCCATTTGGTTTTAGGTTTGGTATAATGTGTATGATTTCTCCACATAAAGATGCCACCTAAAATTAATGTTGGGTGATGACTTTACCTATAATCTCACAGATTTGGGATCACGTTTTCAAAGTTTTCTTATGCAGTCTCTTACATTTATATGCCCATGTTATCATTTCCTTGCATCTTTATGAAAATTAATGGTTAAATGATCACAACATACTAAATGGTCTAAATGATAATATTAATTATCATACAGTAACTTTCTATGCATTAATGATAAAAATAAAAATTTACTCAAACATGAATGATTATTTCTCAAGAGTTTCACATTACAAAATTAATCTACGATTGTCTAAGGAAGATATGATAATGAGAGTACCTTATATTACCAGTAATATAATCTTTATGACAGTGGACAAAGCATAAAAAATCTTAAAGTTTATCGAGTCTAATGTAAATTTAAATTATTTAAAAAAAAATCAAAAACTTATTTGATAAACATTTATTAATACAATCTAGGCCCAAAATTGTAAACCCAATAAAGTTTAGGAGTTAGGGTAAGGACTAAGGTAGAAGCTCAAAATTTTGAACTAGGCCCAGTTTTGCACAATATAATTGTAAACCCCAAGTTACATGGGTCTAAATTTTGTTTCAAACCCAACTTCTGCATTCACAAAACCAATCCATCAAAGAGTTGTATATAAACTAGAAAATGTAGATTAGGGTTTAGAGATCTTTCCCAGGTTTACCAGCAGTCTGCTCTCTGTTGTAGCTAACCCATCAGAGCTTCAACCATGGCCGTCGGGTATTCATTTCTTTATCTCCCAGTCTTTATTCAAAGGGGTTTTGCTTATTTTCTTAAATCTCATTTGTGTTGTAATACAGGAAGAACAAGAGAATCTCCAAAGGAAAGAAGGGAGGAAAGAAGAAGGCGTGAGTGTTTATTTCATTTTATTTTTTTAGCTTTGAACATGCTTGGGGTATATTTTAGAAAATGATCTGTTAGTTCTAACGTTGATTTTTTGTTGGGTTTTTTTTTCTTTTTTTACTTTAGAGCTGATCCATTTGCAAAAAAAGATTGGTATGATATCAAGGCTCCATCAGTTTTCACTTCCAGAAATGTTGGGAAGACACTTGTTACCCGTACCCAGGGTACCAAGGTTTGTTCTTTTTTTGTTCAAACATTTCATTTCTTTATCATTGTGAAAAATGGTTTTTTTTTGTATGTTTTATTCCTGTAGAATCAGGGTTTCATTCAGATTACATTGAACATCTAGCTAAGTGCTTATACTCTTCGTTTTACCTTTATAGGAATGATGGTAAAGGAGTTCAATGTTGTTTGTTTTGCTTTGTGTAAAAGTGGTGCATTTCTTTTTTTGAGCTAGCCTTGGTTATATTGAGGTTTTTTGTTTAGTCTTGATGATATATTCTTAATTGAGTGGGAAATTCTTGTGTCTGGTATCATATTTTAATATTCGGGGAGGATGCTACAATTGCTGCTACTAGGAATTCTGGAATCGATTATCTTCGAATGAATTCATTTGTTGAAAAGCTTGAACTTATTGTTTTCTTATTCTTTTTTGGTCTTGCATCCTTAGTCGGCTTCAGTCATTTTGTGTAAATAATTTCATTGTTTCTACTTATGATATGCCATATGGATGTGGGAAAATCCTCATGATATTCATCTTTGCTTGTATATACAGCGTGATGAACTTAGACATGTTTAGTACATTTGCTTAACCGTACAGTTTTACAATTAGATTTCTACAATTTTATATGGTTTGAAGCTTGCTATTTTGTTGACAGATTGCTTCAGAAGGACTCAAGCATCGTGTGTTCGAGATTTCACTTGCTGATCTTCAAGGCGGTGATGAGGATCACGCATACAGAAAGATCCGGTTGAGAGCTGAGGATGTTCAAGGAAAGAATGTTTTGACCAACTTCTGGGTAAGCGTGAATCTCTTTATTCACATCATTACTTCTTTGTTGCTTCTTGTAATGAATTAACAAATTTGCAGGGAATGAATTTTACAACCGACAAACTGAGGTCCTTGGTGCGGAAATGGCAAACGCTGATTGAAGCTCACGTGGATGTGAAGACAACCGATAATTATACTTTGAGAATGTTTAGCATCGGATTCACCAAGAGACGTCCTAACCAAGTTAAAAGGACATGCTATGCACAATCCAGCCAGATTAGACAGGTAATAATACCATGAAACTATGTCCAATGATTGCTCTTTTTACATATGCCTTAGAGATGGTGGAACTTCAATGATTCCAGAGTCGGCCAAATCCCTTGATGATGTTGCTTTTGTTTTTCAGATTCGCCGAAAGATGAGAGAGATAATGACTGCTCAGGCAACATCGTGCGATTTGAAGGGATTAGTGCAGAAGTTCATCCCTGAGATGATTGGAAAAGAAATCGAAAAGGCAACATCGAGCATCTATCCTTTGCAGAATGTGTTCATTCGAAAAGTCAAAATCTTGAAGGCTCCCAAGTTTGATCTGGGGAAGCTGATGGAGGTATGTTCATCTGATTTTGTATATTTTCTATGATAAATATCAAAGCTTTTCCATGAAAATATTCCCATGGGCATGTTTTATTTTCATTCAGGTTCACGGTGATTACTCGGAAGATGTCGGTGTGAAACTAGAGAGGCCGGCCGATGACACCATGGCCGAGCCTACCCCAGAGGTCGTCGGTGCTTGAATCAAGGTTTCATGAATTCATCCTTTTCTTTTTGGTCGTTTTTTAAAGTTATGTTCATCATTTTCCTTTTTGTTGTTTGTTTAAAATATGAGTTGAGTTTGCTTTTGGTTACCCTCTTTTTATTTGATATTTCAAAGTTATTTTGTTAATCTAATAAAATAAATAATTATAAATATCACGTAATTAGTCATCAATTTTTTTCATTTTTTAAAAAAATATTTGATTTTATTTGTATCCATGATTTAATGAAAAAATTTAAAAAAATATTTTTAAATTTTATTTGAAAAATGATTATAGGTGTAGTTATAAAAGCTCTATACATAAATTTATTAATGAGTTGGATTCTGAAATAATATTTTTTCAAATATATAAAATCATTATCGAGTAAACAAACTTCTTAATATAAGATTAGCTATCGAACTAAACTAATTGTTTCTTAAAATAATTTAAGTATATGAATTAATTATTTAAAAATATAAAAAAAATTATATTAATTTGAGTCGAGTATAATAAAGTCTGTTTAAAAGTAATTCTTAATAATTTTAACATTGATTGCTCTTATATGTTTGAACTCAATATCTTAAGAAATAATAAATGTTTTTTACTATTGAGATCGTTTAGTTCATGTCACAAAGACATAACTTTATTTTTATAGTTTATTTATGTTATTTTTATAGTTTATTATCATCAATTATATTCGAAATATAATTGTTAATTTTAAAAGACTGCTCTTTTTTGAACAATTTTAAACGAATATTGAAGATTGGAGATAAATTAAATATAGAAATCTAAAAGTACAAATTAACGAACAAATGTTATTCGCATTGTTTTGCATTATGCTCTAGTTTTTATTTTAAAATAATAATACAAAAATTTTGATAAAAATCGAATTCGTCCCTGTATTAATTTTCAGAAAGAATTTTTATAAATTAAATCGAATAAAAATTTAATAATATGGGATTTTCAGATTGCAAATACTTTGGCCTCAGTTGGAGCTAACAAAAATTTTCTTATTACATTTATAAACATTGGTCCATGGATAATAATACAATGTAGAAACATTAACTAGGGGAATAACGAGGAAGAAGATCCAATGAGAATATTGAATACCCTTTCAACATCTATATTTAATTTTAAGAGAAAATAACTTCAGTGAACGAAAATGTCTAAAAATATACGATTTTAACCAATTTTTTTTGGATTTACGAAAATAACCAACAAATTCGCAACGCGAACTCCAATTTCGCAACGCGATACTCTAAATTCGCAATGTGATTCTCTAAATTCGCAACGCTAATTACCGGTATAGGTAAACACAACTATTCACAACTCAGTTTTCAAATTAGCAACGCGATTCTCCAAATTTGCAATGCTAATTACTGATATAGGTAAACACAATTATTCGTAACTCAGTTTTCAAATTCGCAACGCGAATTTCATTTTCGCAACACGAATTTCGTTTTCGCTACGAGATTTTTTACTAATCAAAATTCTACGTGTGACCACTATATTGAACTAAAAAAATCTTTTAATCATATTGAACTAATTGTGATTAGTTACTT